GGAAATGAAAATATTCTTGTACATAGGTACTTGTGGGCATGAGTTAGGGAAAAAAATCCTTTGGTTGCCTGGTGGAAACAAAGGGTGTCTAGACGCACACAGGATACCCATGCCTGTACGTGTGTGGCTTCAGCCTATACAACTACCACTTCTGAAACGCCTGTCACAGTGGTCTGCCTCCGTCTTTCACTCAGCTTCTGCAGACCTTCTCTCTGGCCTGCTGGCAACAGCTATCAGCCTGAAGGTCCTTGGAACAGGGCCTTACAAATCGTGGCCATTGCTGCGGGTCTGATTTTCAGGGAAATGCGGATGGCTTCATCACAGCTGGCCTTGAACAAAAATGCAAATAAGGTTTTACCCAAGCCTATATTTTTAGCTGCTTCTGCATTTAATTTGTAATGATGATGTGTTTCAAAATCCTTTGCAAAGCAGTTTGTGAGGACAGTGTGGTCTAAACAGTGCGGTTCCTTCTGGCCTTTATCCACTGAATCTTTCCACTGAATAAAGGCAAGAAGGGATGACCTTGGCTTGCACAGAAGTGGCAGTGATGGTGTGAGTCCACTGCATGTCACTGCAAGTGGAGCAGCGGTAGCTTTAAACCACATGCTGCAATGCTAAGCCAGCACCTCTTACTCTGTTTGCTTGCTCACTCTGACAAAGCACTCACCCCAAATCAGGATGATAAAGCAGGAGGTGCAACCTTTTAAAAATATTAGAAACTCTGTTGATAAAGATAAGCAGCTCTTTTAAAACTTAATAATAGGAATAATAATAATGAGAAGGAGAAGGAGAGGAATTAATAATAAGGGATCATAAGTTATCCTTTCTTGCCAGCCCAAACTAGGCTTCTTCCTAATCAAGACTTGAAATCAGGATTTGAAGTTTCTCCCATAATTAGTGATCCCATTAACACTTACAACAGTTAATGTAACACACAACTGCTGCAGTCAAGGATGACAAGGGAAGAGGTTTCCCTTCAGAAATAAAATGGGCAAAGGTAGAAGATGGTGTATGCCTATCTACCTCACAGCCATGGTATATACTGGGTCAGCACATGATCTGTATCTATTAAGTACAATCTACCAAATGTATATAGACTAGTTCAAGAGCTCATCTGCTGGGGAGGTTGATGTTAGAGGCAAATGGTAGTGCTTAGCAGTACTCATTTGGCTAATTTGAACAACTGGATACTTTAGTTCAGTGTTGTCCAAACTTGGCCACTTTAAGATGAGTGGACTTCAACTCCCAGAATTCCCCAGCCAGCCATGGTTGGCT